ATTATTTTTATATTTGAAATTTAAATCATAAAATCATCCGTATAGCTGTCATTTTAATTATTATTATTATTTTTATATTTGAAATTTAAATCATAAAATCATCCGTATAGCTGTCATTTTAATTATTATTATTATTTTTATATTTGAAATTTAAATCATAAAATCATCCGTATAGCTCTCATTTTAATTATTATTATTATTTTTATATTTGAAATTTAAATCATAAAATCATCCGTATAGCTCTCATTTTAATTATTATTATTATTTTTATATTTGAAATTTAAATCATAAAATCATCCGTATAGATGTTATTTTAATTATTATTTTTATTTTTATATTTGAAATTTAAATCATAAAATCATCCGTATAGCTCTCATTTTAATTATTATTTTTATTTTTATATTTGAAATTTAAATCATAAAATCATCCGTATAGCTCTCATTTTAATTATTATTATTATTTTTATATTTGAAATTTAAATTATAAAATCATTCGTATAGCTGTCATTTTAATTATTATTATTATTTTTATATTTGAAATTTAAATCATAAAATCATCAGTATAGATATTATTTTTATATTTGAAATTTAAATCATAAAATCATCCGTATAGCTCTCATTTTAATTATTATTATTATTTTTATATTTGAAATTTAAATCATAAAATCATCCGTATAGATGTTATTTTAATTATTATTTTTATTTTTATATTTGAAATTTAAATCATAAAATCATCCGTATAGATGTTATTTTAATTATTATTATTATTTTTATATTTGAAATTTAAATCATAAAATCATCCGTATAGCTCTCATTTTAATTATTATTATTATTTTTATATTTGAAATTTAAATCATAAAATCATCCGTATAGCTGTCATTTTAATTATTATTATTATTTTTATATTTGAAATTTAAATCATAAAATCATCCGTATAGCTGTCATTTTAATTATTATTATTTTTATATTTGAAATTTAAATCATAAAATCATCCGTATAGCTGTCATTTTAATTATTATTATTTTTATATTTGAAATTTAAATCATAAAATCATCCGTATAGCTCTCATTTTAATTATTATTATTATTTTTATATTTGAAATTTAAATCATAAAATCATCCGTATAGCTGTCATTTTAATTATTATTATTATTTTTATATTTGAAATTTAAATCATAAAATCATCCGTATAGCTCTCATTTTAATTATTATTTTTATTTTTATATTTGAAATTTAAATCATAAAATCATCCGTATAGCTGTCATTTTAATTATTATTTTTATTTTTATATTTGAAATTTAAATCATAAAATCATCCGTATAGCTCTCATTTTAATTATTATTATTATTTTTATATTTGAAATTTAAATCATAAAATCATCCGTATAGCTCTCATTTTAATTATTATTATTATTTTTATATTTGAAATTTAAATCATAAAATCATCCGTATAGCTCTCATTTTAATTATTATTATTATTTTTATATTTGAAATTTAAATCATAAAATCATCCGTATAGCTCTCATTTTAATTATTATTATTATTTTTATATTTGAAATTTAAATCATAAAATCATCCGTATAGCTCTCATTTTAATTATTATTATTATTTTTATATTTGAAATTTAAATCATAAAATCATCCGTATAGCTCTCATTTTAATTATTATTATTATTTTTATATTTGAAATTTAAATCATAAAATCATCCGTATAGATGTTATTTTAATTATTATTTTTATTTTTATATTTGAAATTTAAATCATAAAATCATCCGTATAGCTCTCATTTTAATTATTATTTTTATTTTTATATTTGAAATTTAAATCATAAAATCATCCGTATAGCTCTTATTTTAATTATTATTATTATTTTTATATTTGAAATTTAAATTATAAAATCATTCGTATAGCTGTCATTTTAATTATTATTATTATTTTTATATTTGAAATTTAAATCATAAAATCATCAGTATAGATATTATTTTTATAATTGAAATTTAAATCATAAAATCATCCGTATAGCTCTCATTTTAATTATTATTATTATTTTTATATTTGAAATTTAAATCATAAAATCATCCGTATAGATGTTATTTTAATTATTATTTTTATTTTTATATTTGAAATTTAAATCATAAAATCATCCGTATAGATGTTATTTTAATTATTATTATTATTTTTATATTTGAAATTTAAATCATAAAATCATCCGTATAGCTCTCATTTTAATTATTATTATTATTTTTATATTTGAAATTTAAATCATAAAATCATCCGTATAGCTGTCATTTTAATTATTATTATTATTTTTATATTTGAAATTTAAATCATAAAATCATCCGTATAGCTGTCATTTTAATTATTATTATTTTTATATTTGAAATTTAAATCATAAAATCATCCGTATAGCTGTCATTTTAATTATTATTATTTTTATATTTGAAATTTAAATCATAAAATCATCCGTATAGCTCTCATTTTAATTATTATTATTATTTTTATATTTGAAATTTAAATCATAAAATCATCCGTATAGCTGTCATTTTAATTATTATTATTATTTTTATATTTGAAATTTAAATTATAAAATCATTCGTATAGCTGTCATTTTAATTATTATTATTATTTTTATATTTGAAATTTAAATCATAAAATCATCAGTATAGATATTATTTTTATAATTGAAATTTAAATCATAAAATCATCCGTATAGCTCTCATTTTAATTATTATTATTATTTTTATATTTGAAATTTAAATCATAAAATCATCCGTATAGATGTTATTTTAATTATTATTTTTATTTTTATATTTGAAATTTAAATCATAAAATCATCCGTATAGATGTTATTTTAATTATTATTATTATTTTTATATTTGAAATTTAAATCATAAAATCATCCGTATAGCTCTCATTTTAATTATTATTATTATTTTTATATTTGAAATTTAAATCATAAAATCATCCGTATAGCTGTCATTTTAATTATTATTATTATTTTTATATTTGAAATTTAAATCATAAAATCATCCGTATAGCTGTCATTTTAATTATTATTATTTTTATATTTGAAATTTAAATCATAAAATCATCCGTATAGCTGTCATTTTAATTATTATTATTTTTATATTTGAAATTTAAATCATAAAATCATCCGTATAGCTCTCATTTTAATTATTATTATTATTTTTATATTTGAAATTTAAATCATAAAATCATCCGTATAGCTGTCATTTTAATTATTATTATTATTTTTATATTTGAAATTTAAATCATAAAATCATCCGTATAGCTGTCATTTTAATTATTATTATTATTTTTATATTTGAAATTTAAATCATAAAATCATCCGTATAGCTGTCATTTTAATTATTATTATTATTTTTATATTTGAAATTTAAATCATAAAATCATCCGTATAGCTCTCATTTTAATTATTATTATTATTTTTATATTTGAAATTTAAATCATAAAATCATCCGTATAGCTCTCATTTTAATTATTATTATTATTTTTATATTTGAAATTTAAATCATAAAATCATCCGTATAGATGTTATTTTAATTATTATTTTTATTTTTATATTTGAAATTTAAATCATAAAATCATCCGTATAGCTCTCATTTTAATTATTATTTTTATTTTTATATTTGAAATTTAAATCATAAAATCATCCGTATAGCTCTTATTTTAATTATTATTATTATTTTTATATTTGAAATTTAAATTATAAAATCATTCGTATAGCTGTCATTTTAATTATTATTATTATTTTTATATTTGAAATTTAAATCATAAAATCATCAGTATAGATATTATTTTTATAATTGAAATTTAAATCATAAAATCATCCGTATAGCTCTCATTTTAATTATTATTATTATTTTTATATTTGAAATTTAAATCATAAAATCATCCGTATAGATGTTATTTTAATTATTATTTTTATTTTTATATTTGAAATTTAAATCATAAAATCATCCGTATAGATGTTATTTTAATTATTATTATTATTTTTATATTTGAAATTTAAATCATAAAATCATCCGTATAGCTCTCATTTTAATTATTATTATTATTTTTATATTTGAAATTTAAATCATAAAATCATCCGTATAGCTGTCATTTTAATTATTATTATTATTTTTATATTTGAAATTTAAATCATAAAATCATCCGTATAGCTGTCATTTTAATTATTATTATTTTTATATTTGAAATTTAAATCATAAAATCATCCGTATAGCTGTCATTTTAATTATTATTATTTTTATATTTGAAATTTAAATCATAAAATCATCCGTATAGCTCTCATTTTAATTATTATTATTATTTTTATATTTGAAATTTAAATCATAAAATCATCCGTATAGCTGTCATTTTAATTATTATTATTATTTTTATATTTGAAATTTAAATCATAAAATCATCCGTATAGCTCTCATTTTAATTATTATTATTATTTTTATATTTGAAATTTAAATCATAAAATCATCCGTATAGCTGTCATTTTAATTATTATTATTATTTTTATATTTGAAAATTAAATCATAAAATCATCCGTATTTCAAAAACCGATTGAATGCATTGATTAAACTGTTTGGATATCACCTGATATTTAATTAGGTCTTAAATGTCGATTTACGACAAGATTTCCATCAGTATGTAGTCGTTTGTTACACGACTACACTTCAGCTCATCGGTTGGCTGTGTATTGAGGAGTCGGGTATCACTCTTTGCACTGACTAATTGACATTTACTGTCCATATTTTGCTACTGATCTTTACTTATAGTATCGAAAACGTTATAATAATTATTAATAAAATCTAAAATCTACATTTATTATATACAATATGTATAAAATTAGATTTTATTTCAAAATGTTTATAATTTAAAACTTTAATACAGAAAATATTAAGCAATAGCTATATTAGAATTTATGTTTAAGGCGATCCATCATATTATCAAATTCCCATTTTTATTGCAAAACTAAATCCAAGATTACATTTGGATGTAATTCTTTCAATATATCACTTCCAAAAATTTTTGGTTATATTTGATGACCCGTACGGACCTAAATATTGTGTCACTAAAACCAATATGACTGAACAGGAGGTTAGCCTATAATTATTATTATTAATTAATTAAATTATTTGTTATCCACTACAACACAGTGCGATGAAAATAATATCCAATATTTGGTTGATTGTCATAAATCAGACATTACTACTACTACTATTACAACCACTGAAACTCCGTCGACAACAATAACAACCACTTCATCGACATCAATGACAACCACTCCGTCGACAATACAAACAACATCTGAAATGACTGAATCTGAAACTACATCCACTACTGAAATGACAACAATAACTGAAACCGAAACACCAATTACACAGACATTGACTACAATTACCGCCGAAACTGAGACAACAATTACAAAAATTCCTGAAGTGATTACATCTAACAACACGACAAACCCGACAACAAATAGTACACAATCTTTAGAATCGACGGAATCGATGAGCGAATCGTCTATTTTTGACAATAGTTATGGACTTCCGATATTTGTTGTATTAATTTTTATAATAATACTTATTATTTCTGCGTTGTGTGTCTTTAGTGTGTATTATGTGATCAAAAGTATGACACAAATCAAAAACATTGTATTTAATAATATTGATAATTGATATTTTAATATAAATTTATTTAAAACAATTAGGAAAATCGGATAATTCAAACAAGACATTGAATGCTTCAATACGATCGGGAGATATCTCTAAAATGCCTTCATTTACCACTTTAGGTACCATTAATACAATCGACTCGACAACCGGTTCAACCATACATATCAAATAATTTAAATTATTATCCATTAAATAATATCTTGTCGTTTATATATTGTATTATTGTTTTGAATTAAATGTATTATAAATCCTAATTTATTAAAGTATTTATTGGTTTATTGTATTTAACAGTTGATATATAATTTTCTAATGCCTTAAACATAAATTCTAATATAGCTATTGCTTAATATTTTCTGTATTAAAGTTTTAAATTATAAACATTTTGAAATAAAATCTAATTTTATACATATTGTATATAATAAATGTAGATTTTAGATTTTATTAATAATTATTATAACGTTTTCGATACTATAAGTAAAGATCAGTAGCAAAATATGGACAGTAAATGTCAATTAGTCAGTGCAAAGAGTGATACCCGACTCCTCAATACACAGCCAACCGATGAGCTGAAGTGTAGTCGTGTAACAAACGACTACATACTGATGGAAATCTTGTCGTAAATCGACATTTAAGACCTAATTAAATATCAGGTGATATCCAAACAGTTTAATCAATGCATTCAATCGGTTTTTGAAATACAAAAACAACTATCGATTGGTATTAGCGATAGTTTTGAGAGAGTTTGGACTTATAAGTGGTTTGTCTGTTGTAAAAGTGACCACAAATTGATAGCAAACGAGTACTACAACAACAACATTACAGCCGCCGTCTGTCGCTCGGGTAATGTCTATCAACTGTTGCAAAATATCGGTAATTTGAACACAATATTATAATAAAAAGTTTATCCTACTTCTTTTATCATTTACTTTTAAATTTTTTAGATTTGAAAATTTTATAACAAAAAGTTTATCCTACTTCTTTTATCATTTACTTTTAAATTTTTTAGATTTGAAAATTTTATAACAAAAAGTTTATCCTACTTCTTTTATCATTTACTTTTAAATTTTTTAGATTTGAAAATTTTATAACAAAAAGTTTATCCTACTTCTTTTATCATTTACTTTTAAATTTTTTAGATTTGAAAATTTTATAACAAAAAGTTTATCCTACTTCTTTTATCATTTACTTTTAAATTTTTTAGATTTGAAAATTTTATAACAAAAAGTTTATCTTACTTCTTTTATCATTTACTTTTAAATTTTTTAGATTTGAAAATTTTATAACAAAAAGTTTATCCTACTTCTTTTATCATTTACTTTTAAATTTTTTAGATTTGAAAATTTTATAACAAAAAGTTTATCCTACTTCTTTTATCATTTACTTTTAAATTTTTTAGATTTGAAAATTTTATAACAAAAAGTTTATCCTACTTCTTTTATCATTTACTTTTAAATTTTTTAGATTTGAAAATTTTATAACAAAAAGTTTATCCTACTTCTTTTATCATTTACTTTTAAATTTTTTAGATTTGAAAATTTTATAACAAAAAGTTTATCCTACTTCTTTTATCATTTACTTTTAAATTTTTTAGATTTGAAAATTTTATAACAAAAAGTTTATCCTACTTCTTTTATCATTTACTTTTAAATTTTTTAGATTTGAAAATTTTATAACAAAAAGTTTATCCTACTTCTTTTATCATTTACTTTTAAATTTTTTAGATTTGAAAATTTTATAACAAAAAGTTTATCCTACTTCTTTTATCATTTACTTTTAAATTTTTTAGATTTGAAAATTTTATAACAAAAAGTTTATCCTACTTCTTTTATCATTTACTTTTAAATTTTTTAGATTTGAAAATTTTATAACAAAAAGTTTATCCTACTTCTTTTATCATTTACTTTTAAATTTTTTAGATTTGAAAATTTTATAACAAAAAGTTTATCCTACTTCTTTTATCATTTACTTTTAAATTTTTTAGATTTGAAAATTTTATAACAAAAAGTTTATCCTACTTCTTTTATCATTTACTTTTAAATTTTTTAGATTTGAAAATTTTATAACAAAAAGTTTATCCTACTTCTTTTATCATTTACTTTTAAATTTTTTAGATTTGAAAATTTTATAACAAAAAGTTTATCCTACTTCTTTTATCATTTACTTTTAAATTTTTTAGATTTGAAAATTTTATAACAAAAAGTTTATCCTACTTCTTTTATCATTTACTTTTAAATTTTTTAGATTTGAAAATTTTATAACAAAAAGTTTATCCTACTTCTTTTATCATTTACTTTTAAATTTTTTAGATTTGAAAATTTTATAACAAAAAGTTTATCCTACTTCTTTTATCATTTACTTTTAAATTTTTTAGATTTGAAAATTTTATAACAAAAAGTTTATCCTACTTCTTTTATCATTTACTTTTAAATTTTTTAGATTTGAAAATTTTATAACAAAAAGTTTATCCTACTTCTTTTATCATTTACTTTTAAATTTTTTAGATTTGAAAATTTTATAACAAAAAGTTTATCCTACTTCTTTTATCATTTACTTTTAAATTTTTTAGATTTGAAAATTTTATAACAAAAAGTTTATCCTACTTCTTTTATCATTTACTTTTAAATTTTTTAGATTTGAAAATTTTATAACAAAAAGTTTATCCTACTTCTTTTATCATTTACTTTTAAATTTTTTAGATTTGAAAATTTTATAACAAAAAGTTTATCCTACTTCTTTTATCATTTACTTTTAAATTTTTTAGATTTGAAAATTTTATAACAAAAAGTTTATCCTACTTCTTTTATCATTTACTTTTAAATTTTTTAGATTTGAAAATTTTATAACAAAAAGTTTATCCTACTTCTTTTATCATTTACTTTTAAATTTTTTAGATTTGAAAATTTTATAACAAAAAGTTTATCCTACTTCTTTTATCATTTACTTTTAAATTTTTTAGATTTGAAAATTTTATAATAAAAAGTTTATCCTACTTCTTTTATCATTTACTTTTAAATTTTTTAGATTTGAAAATTTTATAATAAAAAGTTTATCATACTTCTTTTATCATTTACTTTTAAATTTTTTAGATTTGAAAATTTTATAATAAAAAGTTTATCCTACTTCTTTTATCATTTACTTTTAAATTTTTTAGATTTGAAAATTTTATAATAAAAAGTTTATCCTACTTCTTTTATCATTTACTTTTAAATTTTTTAGATTTGAAAATTTTATAATAAAAAGTTTATCCTACTTCTTTTATCATTTATTTTTAAATTTTTTAGATTTGAAAATTTTATAATAAAAAGTTTATCCTACTTCTTTTATCATTTACTTTTAAATTTTTTAGATTTGAAAATTTTATAACAAAAAGTTTATCCTACTTCTTTTATCATTTACTTTTAAATTTTTTAGATTTGAAAATTTTATAATAAAAAATTTATCCTACTTATTTTATCATTTACTTTTAAATTTTTTAGATTTGAAAATTTTATAATAAAAAATTTATCCTACTTATTTTATCATTTACTTTAAAAAGTTTTAGACTTGAAAATTTTATAATAAAAAGTTAATTTTATTTCTTTTATCATTTACTTTAAATAGTTTTAGACTTGAAATGTTTATAACAAAAAGTTTATCCTATTTCTTTTATCATTTACTTTTTAGATCAAAAGTTTATCTTTTTTTAAATTTTTTTTTTAGATTTGAAATGTTTATAACGAAAATTTATCATACTTCTTTTATCWTTTACTTTTAAATTTTTTAGATTKKAAAATTTTATAATAAAAAGTTTATCCTACTTCTTTTATCATTTACTTTTAAATTTTTTAGATTTGAAATGCTTATAACAAAAAGTTTATCCTACTTCTTTTATCATTTACTTTTAAATTTTTTAGATTTGAAAATTTTATAATAAAAAGTTTATCCTACTTCTTTTATCATTTACTTTAAAAAGTTTTAGACTTGAAAATTTTATAATAAAAAGTTAATTTTATTTCTTTTATCATTTACTTTAAATAGTTTTAGACTTGAAATGTTTATAACAAAAAGTTTATCCTACTTTTTTATCATTTACTTTTAAATTTTTTAGATTTGAAAATTTTATAATAAAAAGTTTATCCTACTTCTTTTATCATTTACTTTTAAATTTTTTAGATTTGAAAATTTTATAATAAAAAGTTTATCCTACTTCTTTTATCATTTATTTTTAAATTTTTTAGATTTGAAAATTTTATAATAAAAAGTTTATCCTACTTCTTTTATCATTTACTTTTAAATTTTTTAGATTTGAAAATTTTATAACAAAAAGTTTATCCTACTTATTTTATCATTTACTTTTAAATTTTTTAGATTTGAAAATTTTATAATAAAAAATTTATCCTACTTATTTTATCATTTACTTTTAAATTTTTTAGATTTGAAAATTTTATAATAAAAAATTTATCCTACTTATTTTATCATTTACTTTAAAAAGTTTTAGACTTGAAAATTTTATAATAAAAAGTTAATTTTATTTCTTTTATCATTTACTTTAAATAGTTTTAGACTTGAAATGTTTATAACAAAAAGTTTATCCTACTTTTTTTATCATTTACTTTTAAATTTTTTAGATTTGAAATGTTTATAACGAAAATTTATCATACTTCTTTTATCATTTACTTTTAAATTTTTTAGATTTGAAAATTTTATAACAAAAAGTTTATCCTACTTCTTTTATCATTTACTTTTAAATTTTTTTAGATTTGAAAATTTTATAACAAAAAGTTTATCCTTCTTCTTTTATCATTTACTTTTAAATTTTTTAGATTTGAAAATTTTATAACAAAAAGTTTATCCTACTTCTTTTATCATTTACTTTTAAATTTTTTAGATTTGAAAATTTTATAACAAAAAGTTTATCCTACTTCTTTTATCATTTACTTTTAAATTTTTTAGATTTGAAAATTTTATAACAAAAAGTTTATCCTACTTCTTTTATCATTTACTTTTAAATTTTTTAGATTTGAAAATTTTATAATAAAAAGTTTATCCTACTTCTTTTATCATTTACTTTTAAATTTTTTAGATTTGAAAATTTTATAATAAAAAGTTTATCCTACTTCTTTTATCATTTACTTTTAAATTTTTTAGATTTGAAAATTTTATAACAAAAAGTTTATCCTTCTTCTTTTATCA